CCCACCCGCGGCCGCCGCTTCTCCCGTGGGTGCGACGCCCGCTCGCCCCGCCGCAGGTCGTCCGTCCGCTGGGCTGAGCGAGGGATGCCCATGCGGCTCCGTTTGCTGCCTCTCGGAGGGAGCAGCTCCTGCAGCCTCTCCCTGCCTTTTCTTCTCCTTTTTGTTTCACATTGCCTGGCTCAGACGCCTTATTCCCTTCGCTAAGGCGGCATCTAGGTATTATTTCAAACCGGTCTCCTTTCCTGCCCGCCTTTCCCTCATTCCCGGGTTAGCATCCATTATGCGGCAAGAATTATTTCGAAATAAGAAAGCAACGTGTTGCAAACAGTCCCCAGCCCATTTTCTGACACCTTTTGTTATGCATGCTCTTGCTGCTGGAGAAAATGCTAGTATGTGCACCTGCGAAAAAACGCCTTCATGATGTTAACAGCAAGCTGGAGGGTATAAAGCAATAAAACTGCCAAATGTACCTGTTCCTATTGAGTACATTACCTACACCTATGAATAAAGACTCCCAGTAGGAATTCTTTCCCTTCTCTTCCCCTTTCTCTATATTTTTATTCATTGTAGATTTGTAAACGCCTGGATCGGGTTACCGTTTCGCGTGTTAAAGTGGAACTCTTGTTAAAGCAGGAGAACAAGGCAAGACACTTACAACTGCATTCAGAGTTACTGAACCGGCTCCAAGGGCTCAAGAAGTGAAACAACGATGCGAGGGTGGGTTCAGGGGGCATAAAACAGCCCAGCCACCCAGGAAAAAAGACCCCCCACGCCCCCCTAAAGGAAGCCAGCTGAACTATAAGCGCCGAGAGCCTGTGGGTTATGCCCTGCCACCGATCGAGCATCGCTTCGCATCCCCCTTCCCCCCCGCCCCCCCGGACGGCGGGGTGTGCAAACAGGGGGCTCGCATCCCCCGGCTTCCCAGAGCTACTGACCGGGCTGTGGAGGAGCAAAACCCAGAAATAAAGGAAGAAAAGGAAAGGGGAGGAAAAAAAATTCCGAAGTGAAAAATAAAACCCCTCTAAATATTTCCAAAAGCGACGAACCAATCCTCAGGCAATGTCGCTGCGAGAGGCAGTGTCAGGACCAGCGCTTGGTCTGGGGATGTCTCTGGGCTGTGCGGGGCTCTGCCAGCGGCGGGGGGGGGGGCCCGGGGGGGGGTGGAAAGGGCGGCGCCCCCCGCGCCCGCCACCTCCTCGCCCGGCGGCGCCTGCCGGTGCCCGGGTTGGTTTGCAAAGCCCGAAGCCTCCAGCCCGCTTCCCCATCCAGAGCAACTTTCGGGTTTCTCTGGGCTTAGCGAGTTCCGCCGGGTCCTTCCTACCTCAGTCCTCTCCGGCGGGGTCTGCCTCTGGAGTTCATGCTTAGCTGGACGCCAGGAGATTTAAGCGAGGGAAAGCGGGGGAAAAAAAGAGAGAGGGAGTGAGAGAGAGAGAGGGGAGAGAGAGGAGAGGGGAGAGAGAGAGATCCTCCGCCGTGCTGGATCAAACTTAATGTCTTTCCCCAGTCCATCTTTGAAAGAGAAGTGGTAATACCACCTGGATGTTCGGATATAAATCCCCTTGCAAATAATAAATGGATTAATAATAACAAGGTATGAAGTTCTTTTTATAGAAAAAAAGAGAGAATTGAAACTAAATGCGGCAGTTAGACAACCATTTTGATAAGAGGATAATTGAGGCGACACTGGTGTATAATTAGAGGATAATTTATGCTATATCCACTTTTATTCCACCTCCCAAAATAAACCCAGTCCATAATCATTACAGGCAAATTGTTCTGAATTTTATAGCAGCAATTTGAACAAAGTACTGCAGTTAATCATGGGAGATTTTTGTGTATTCCTGATTAGAAGTCTAATTGCCTCCTTCCAGAAAGTAAAAATAACTGTAAAACGACTCTATTTTTATCATTAACAATGTTGACAATAAAATAAAATCAACTGGAATTGTAATCTAAAGACAAATTTAGGGCGCAGGCACTTTTTTTTTTCCTTGGGTCGTTTATATCCTAATCAAGCTTTTGCCAAAACCGCCAACCGCACCTAGCCATTTG